AGGGTGCAATGTAATGCATGCCAGAAAGTTCGTAGAATGCGAAAAAAGAGAGGTTTTTTCAATTCCACTAAGCTGTGGCACACTCTAAAAAAAGTCTGTGCGTCTACTTTCACGCACAGCACTCGGAGAGCCAATCAGCGGAACGTACGGAAACAGCTCAGCGAATGACGATGCCGGAGCATATGTTTAGACCAGTGTGTCGAACCGAAAAAAATACGGGTTCGGTTACGGTTCAGGTTCAGGTAAGTTTATTTTGTTCCGGTTCAGTTCCGGTTCCATTAATTCGATCCGCGAACCGGTTCGCGAACCGGTTCAGAAATTATAAATGACAAATTGCAACATCAAAATAAATTACAAATAAAACATCTGAAATCAGCACATACGAAACGGGATACATCGTAGTGTAATGCTCAGGGGTTTCTACCAGGAATGGTTTCTTTATGTGCACTCAAAGGTTGCCTCACCGACGTTTACGCATTCGGACTTCATCCAATTGGGTCCGACGCAGTAGCTGTAAAATCCGCGACCTCCTTACAAACCTACTTACAAGTAGAACTCGCTAACTATCCCGCCACCTCGGCGTGTAAGCAATTGAAGGAACAGTGGGGAGAAAATACAGCTTTCTTTATTTGAACTAGTCTTCGGTAACTCAAATTAGACCCTTAAAGAAGTTTTCATTAAACAAGATACGGAACATGAAAAACACTTCACCGAACGCAACGCCAGAAGGACGTAATAGGATAAATATTAAAATAGAAGAGTTCGCTGTCTCACATATATGTCAGCTTCTAAGTGCCTATACGAAACCGGATGCATCGTGGTGCTGGCTTTCGTCAGCGGCCGCCACTCGCTCAAAACTAACTACACCGCGCACTATATTACCTGGACGTCTAAAGGGATGCGGGAGAAGGTAACCACTTCTGTTCCTGTCTGATGACAGGGCTGTCTGTCACGGGCGCTAACTCCAGCGTCTGCTGAGCGTTGGTTTGAGCGCACACGCCTGCTTGAGTCCCATGACTACGCTGGGCAGGCGACGGAAGCAACAGAAGCTCGGCAGATCTTTTGTCAAATTCGAAAAAGAGCGCAGCTTGGCTTCTCCGCGAGCGACTAGGGTTTGTATCCCTGTTGTTTTTTTTTCCCCGCATTTATCGAGTTTCCGGTACGAAAAAATACGGCATGTAAATCTTGACACTTCCTAGTTCGATATACTCTGACCGGTGGTTGGGGCAGCGAAGAGCAGATATAATTCATGAATGCTCATTTCAACTGTAAATAAGATTTCTTTCTCTCCCTCAAACATTATCAAACTCCACAGCCTTTTCTTTTCTCATTCCGATGGAAGCAAGCTTCAAGAACTCGTGCGTTCTAGAAACGTGTTATGAAATGAGCACACAGCAGCATTTAGGATTTCCGAGATTGTAGAAAAATAAAATCCCGTGACGCGATTTTTTTTTTTGCACAGCTTTTTAATTTTTTTTTTACGTGCAAGCCGCGACCAGCGCAATACTGGTTAATATGTCAAGGTTCATGGATGCAGCGTTTGTCAAGATTCATGGATGCAGCGTTTATATTCCTAAGACTGAGTGGAGAAGAAAAATATGTAAGTGAGGTGTGTGTCAGTTGACGGCACTTAAAAAACAAATGGCATTGATAGCACATTCATTGTCAACAGCGCGTGGCCGAACCGTTTTGACATGAGCCGGTAACCGTTATTTTTTTTCCGGTTCAATTCCGGTTCGGATTCATCGCAATAACAATATAACGGTTCGGGTTCGGGTTCTGTTCCGGAAAAAGTACCGGTTCGGTTCCGGTTTTCGGTTCGGTTCGGTTCCGGTTCGACAGCCTTGTTTAGACCAAAAAACACAGTCTGAGTTGTACCATTAAGCAATGCAAAACTCACGCTTGCATTGATTAATTTCCCAATTCAGTCTGCGTTTTTTGGTCTAAACATATGTTTCGGCATCGTCATTCGCTGAGCTGCCTCCGCAAGTTGCGCTGAATGGTTCTACGAGTGTTGTGCGTGGAAGTAGACCCACAGACTCTTTTTAGCGTGCAGTCAGTACATTGTACAGACCGGGAGATTCGTCAACTATCGACTCAGAGAACACAACTTGGATGCATCAAAGGCTTCAAATGAGTCGTCTCACCCAATTATCGTTCACCGCCGGTTCTCCTTATAATTCTCTACTATTAGAATACTGGGCGGGCACAAAAACAAATTTGGGAGAGAAATCATTGATTCATTTGCCATGGGGACTGTAAACAACGACGTTTCTGCACCTTCATTATCATTGACAAAGACAGAGGTCGAATTCCTAACTCCAGAGATGACTAGATTACAGACACATCGTCGTGATGCTAGAGATTTTTAAACTTTTATATTTATATGACATTTTTTTATTCTTTCGAGGTTGTAAAAAACAATATTTCATGATAAAAACAAAACAGTGCAAAGACCAGTACGAAGTAGAAGGAACCACAGGACATAGCGCTGCATTTTCCATATCATTGACAATGACAAAGGTCGAATCCTAAGTAATCAGAGAAAACTAGATTTGTAATACATCGTCGCGACGCCAGTGCTTTTTAAACTGTCATTTTCACAGTAAATTCTCTTTCCTTTAAAAAAGTATCTCCTTTCCCTCTTTGAAAATGTTGAAACCTTTTTTTTTTTTTTTGGGGGGGGGGGGGGCGGTTTTATCGTTGTGCCATTCTATGTTGTTGCAAAATGAAAGATGTCCTGTTCCTCATCTTCGTCCTCGCCTTTTTATACTTCCAAGTTTTGTGTCAGTACCCTCCCCTTCTACTCCTCAAGAGCTGCGCTCTAATTCGGCGTTAAAGGAAGTTGTAAACGTCTTTCATTTTTTCGTTGTTTTCACAATTCTTTTAATCACGCAAGCAGGCTCTGAAAGGTGTTATACAACAATATTATAAAAGTAATCACAAGGAACGACGAACGGCCCAAACAACTAAACGAAAATAATAAAATCCAAAATATAATTAATTTAAACGAGAAGCGCAACAGATATCTGTTTGACTTCGACTTAACTGTATTATAAGACTGTCTTTCGCATGATGCATGAGCTGTGTGACCCCGGCTTTACGAATTTCTTGTAGCCTTTGCCAAAATCTTAGGGTATGATTTTATACAAAAGATCCAAATTATGTTTTATTATTCTGTTATTGACCTAATAACTGTTTTATAAGCTATATATATAGAATGTCCCAAGCCACCAGGCTCGATCTAAAATGGACAGTACAAATTGGTGCTCGCACGAAGCAATCTAAACTTTTCGTCAAGGATGTATTTAACAGGTCGGATTTTTCTTGTAAAATTACAAAGCGTAGCTCCCATTCTGTAAAAAAATAGGGCCAAGAAACTTGCCCTGGTCAACGGAGGACGCCGGCGCAGGTGACCGAACCGAGTTGCGGGGCGCGTTCGGGGCGCGTATCGATAGATGGAGTCGGGAGCAGTGTCCGAAGGTGTAGCCAAAGTTACTAGATTAACTCAGTTGTGGAACTCCCGCGTAACAGGCTGCCACCTACCCCCCCTCACTCACTTTAGTCCACCTCCCGTCGTTCGAAGCGCCATCTAGATTTTCGTTTACGAACTGTGTGCTCCACGGAGTGCGGTGAAACGCCACCTAGACGATACGCTTCGAAACGTACGTATCCCATAGAACACACTGCAGTTACCAAAGTAGCCGTCCGGCGTGTCGAACGACGGGAGGCGAGTCGTTGTGAGTGAGGGGGGTACTGCTCGTGCATGCAGCGTCTCTGAGCAATTCCGTAGCTAAGCTTATCTAAAAATGTTAGGTGTAGCCAACGAGCGAAAGAGAGCAGACGACACGTTAGCGAAGTCTGTTCGGAGCAAAAACGCCGTCGTTGTGCAACGCCTTTTTTTTACTTTTCTTTTTTTGATTGTCTGCGTTAACTTTTAAACCAAATGAACTTTAAAAAAAAGGCTATGTTTATTTTAATAAACCACGGTGGTTGCGAGCAGTCTCAGTGAGGAGCTAGCGCCATCTATTAATGCGAGCGCCAAACGCGTCCCTCAAGTCGACTTCGTCGTCTGCGTCGCAGTCCGCCGTTGACCCTGGCAAGTTTCTTCGCCCTATTCTTTTAGAGAAAGGGAGCTACGCGTTCTAATTTTACCAATAGAAAAATATGACTTGTGTAATAAACCTTTGACGAAAAGTTTAGATTGCTACATGCAGGCGTCGATTTTTACAGTCTATTTTAGCTCGAGCCTGGTGACTTGGGATATCCTATATATGGTCACTGACGGCTTAAAGAACGCCAGACGTGTGACTTTCTACACTCACTATTCTCGCTTTGTGATTCCTAATTGGGCGTTGTTATAAAAAAATCCCGAAATCTAATAGGTTTCGGGGCGATAATAAGACTATTGGGTCCGGCCACGCATTGCGTTGCCTAGGACGTCAGTGTCTATAGTTGGCCACATCGTATTTCGTTTTCTTTGTTCTTATCATAAACTCCCCACACCAGTGCAAGCCGGGGTGCAATAAAAAGTGGGTGATTGTCTTGATCTGGAATAGGCCCATCTGCCGCACAGTCAGTTTTTTTTTTCTTAATCGCGTCAGTTAAATTTTGGGTTTATTTCCACGACGCGTGCAGCGAAATGTGACTTTGTCGTTTATGTCGCTTCAATGCTGTTACATGCGTTAGTGTCTGCCTCAACCACAGGCACCAAAACGACGAGGGCGTCGGTAAAAATGAAGTTAATAATCGCTTTGAAACGCTACTTATTTTATTTTTTTTTTGTATTCTGTTGTGTATGACGAACATCTGTTCCACTGATTTTGTGAAGTCGCTCATGACTCAACCAACGGCGCTCTAAAAACAATGCTTTGCTCTTAACAGAGTCATGTCAAACACGTCAGCTATGATCCGGTACAGCTGTATTTTAAAAATACAAAAAAAATACAAACTTCTTATATAACTTAGGCAGTGTTCAGTCGATCTCGAAGCAGCAGCGAATGTGGATAGCCTCCTCTGCAATGGGCCCGCAGTACGCTGTGTTGTTGGCGTGCGTCGTCGCGACCTTGGTGTGGCACACAACGGAAGGCTGGGGACCCAGCTTTTCCTGGACGAGAAATATGACCATAAAAAACCCAGAAAACAACCCTACATTCAACGACGCAGAACTTGGGCCCCTGCAAGATGCATGGCAGGTACGTGATTAAGAAATACAGGCTGTTTTTTAAGGACTTAGAGATATGTTTTAAAAAAAGACATGCAAGCTACACTAATGCGGTCTTTACATGCGAGTTATACGGTCGATGGGAAATATTATATAGGTCGATAATTATCATGATAACTCAGTTATTTAAGAAAATTATATTGATAAACTTTTTAATGATTGAAGATAGGTATATGATTCCAATCAGAGATCATCTGAATGTCATCGAACGACGAAAACCGCTAAATGAGTAAATATTAGAAATACTTGGAACGGGTAGAAAGCTCGGTAGTGCGTTAAATTTTTAATCAGTTGGTCTTCTGGAGGTGACATGACGCCACCAGAGGTGAATGCGTTAGAAACTTCCGGTTTAGAAAGACGCGCCCTCAACGTTAACCGAAACTTAAAGAAGCTTTTGGGCGTAAAGGAGGACTTATTTGGGGCCAGCAGCGGCCTGGTGTGACTTTGGTCTCCCTTGGGGGCGTTCCACCGACCACGTCCTCAACTTCCGGCTTCACTTGGTATTAGAGAGTTTTAGCAGATCGCTTTTTCGCCCCGATTAGGATACCTCCTCTCCCCTCCGGCGGCCTTGGTCATGCATCGCATCGCTATCGGGTGTCGTTATCGGGGCGAAAAAACGATCTGCTAAAACTCTCTATTTTATCGTTTAGTTTAACCTCGATGTCGCCTCCTCTTCTTTCTAGCTCCATGGTTACAATAGACCGATCTCACTAGTGGCGCAATCACACTGCCGGTTGAGATGCGTTTGCGAAGCGGTTCCGAATAAGGTTCAGAGTGACCGCGTTCAGACACACCGAGACGCGGTTGGTGGTTTCTCGTCGATCACATGCGATATTTTTACACTTGTGTTGGACAATCTGGTTTTTAAATCCAAAGTCCAGAGAAAAAATAAGAAGGGTGCAGGCGAGCTGTTGATTATCAACCATGTTGAATTGACCTGTGGTAAAGAAAAAACATGCAAACGTAGACAAGACAGAAAATAGGACGACGTCATTGAGCCGAGTTGGAGACGACGTCCTGTCTATTTTCGTTCTCTTCTACGTTCTGACGTTTCTTGTCTACCCCAGTCTCAGGTTAATTCAACATGGGCAAAGTTAACTTTAATCCGAGATCCCAAGCCAAACTAGAGCTATTTTGGCACTCTAAAGATTTTCTGTGGGTTGTCGTTTTCCGCACGCATTACGAGTTTCCGGCAGTGGAAAAAGAGACATAGAACCACAAAACCCACCGGCGATTTTCCCGACTTCGTACACAAGCAAAACCCAGCCAGACGTGGGCGCGCCTTGCTGACTCAGCAGAGAACGGCACGACTCTTTCTTCGAAGTGGGTCTTCCCGCATAAGCAGCTGACCTTGTTATTGAAATAGAGGGCCAGTTTTTGCATCGCATTGTTTGCTGTTATCATTTCCGGAGCTGTGAGCGGCACTGGTGAACCGTGGTGCGGGGGAATGTGTTTGGTGCTAGTCGGTCGCGGCTTCGTTGTGGCGGACTCTCCTCTCGTCACTCGCACGCCGATCAAGACTACGTGTTTGATATTAAGCTCAAATAAAAGCCATATGGATTTCTTATACATTGCCATACAAGCACATTTCATTTCTTGAGTAGGTCCCCTTATTCCTTTTGGTAGTAGTAAACGTTACAGGTCGACCTAGCGTAATTTATCAATTACGCTATTAGACGTAATTTGTCTACAGTATCTACAGTTACGCAACTGGTGCTCACTGTGAATGATTTCACAAAGTCAATCGACTCCGGATATCAGACGGACGTAATTTTTATAGATTTTGCAAAAGCGTTTGGCCGCGTGCCTCACGGAAAACTACTCTTCAAACTGAGATCCTTATTAAACAATGAACAGATATTAAAATGGTTAGAAGTATATTTAAATAACAGAAAACAGTTTGTACAAATACAGGATTCCCGTTCATCCACATCAAAAGTAGAATCTGGAGTTCCTCAGGGATCATTTCTTGCACCCCTACTTTTTTCTAATTTTTATAAATGACATTACAGTGGACAGGTCCGTTCAAATTCGCTTATTTGCCGATGATTGTATAATTTGTAAGCAAGTCAAATGCTCAAATGACCAAGTAGTCTTAAACAAGTTTAGAAATGATCTCAGAATGGTGTGATGATTGGCAAATGTCTCTAAATAACCAAAAATGTGCGCATATGACGATGACTAGGAAACAAAAACCACTGAATTTTAATTATACTCTTCACGGAACCGCTTTAAATACCGTATGTGAATAAAATACCTAGGATTAATCATAACTTCAGATCTGCGTTGGAACTCATATATTGACTTTATCTCCCGAAAAGCAATGAATAAATTAAGGGCATTAAAAAGGAAATTGAAGGACTGCTCGAGCAAAACGAAACTATTGGCGTACAAAACGTTTGTTAGATCTATACTCGAGTATGCCGACGCTGTGTGGGATCTTTACACAAAATGTAATATTAAAAAATTAGAAAGAATTCAGAAGAAGGCATTAAGATTTATATTTAACAAGCATGGCAGAAACACCTCGATTTCGGAGCTTTATGTACAGGCCGGCCTTCCGCTTTTAGAAAACGTAGGAAGATCGATCGACTGAAAATTATTTTTAATCTAATAAATGGGAACTACAACTTAGATTATCTAGATTACTTTCACTTTAACACATCTAGGGTCACAAGATATAAACACAGTAAATCAATCACTGAAATAAAGTGCAAGCCCGACTGTTACAAATATACTCTTATTTTTCTCGTACTATCCGTGCCTGGAATGCGTTACCCGAACAAATTGTCTCTTCAAGTTGTTTAACGTTGTTTCTAGCATTGATAAACGAATTACCAAAGTTTTGAGGTTTCAGGCCTTGATATCCCTCAAACGAATATTTTTCTGCTCTTTGTGTGTTTGGGATCATATATGTAAAATGTTTTTTTCTCTTGTTTTTCTTTTTTTTTTTGTTTTGTATTACTGCGCTGCCGCACTCTGTGCTTGCTTTTTCGTAAAAACTTGATCCATGTGTCCCTCCTACCTTGGCTGCCCTACGGCGGCCGGTGGTATAAATAAATAAATAAATAAAATAAATAGCGCAGCCACCTTGCCAGGTCGTTTGTAATGCGTTGGCTACGCTAATGGGCTCACGACGTCTTCGAAAAAGGGCTCACGACACCTTCGTGGTGGTCAAGCACAGTGTCGAAAGCTTTCAGTAATTCACCCGACTTTCTTAGTGGTTACAAAAGCTGCCATTTTGATCGATTGGGGGCGGGTTCTGATCTTCTGCGGGCAAAGACTAACGAGGAAGAGGGCAACAACTTTGACACCTCGAGTAAAAAAAAAAAAAAAAAAACTCTTATTCGAATTTAATTATCGGAGCGAAGACCGCTAAGATTACGAGTCAATTCTTTTCGCGGCGGATTCAAGTGACGGACGTGAACATCACGTTTCTCCGTTGATTTGTCTGCTTCGACGCTAGGACTGCAGCGCGTTGGACGCCTCCCCAGCGACAGTTGCCATCTTGTTCCGAAAGCCACCGACGTCACGTCACCGTCGAGTTGAGATTTTTTGCCGCTTCGCACTTCGCGAAAGCGGTCGGGAGAAATCGATTCCAAAGCGGTCTGCAAAAACACGCCCCAACCGCTCGATCCTAGCGGCTTTGCGGTTGAGAACGTGCGGATCCGCTTTCCGGTTGCGGATCCGCTTCCACTTCCGTGATCCGCCATGACTTTAGTTCATAGGAGGCAGACGCCAGTTCACGAGACAGCTAGTGCCACCTCGTGCTCTGCTCGCACAGACTTTTAGCGCGGTTATTGCGGGCGCAGAAAGACTACACCGTTAGCAAACATCGACACCTCTGGACGAGCAAACGGTTGTAACAAGGCGGGCACGTATGGCTTGGTGTATTTTTTTTATGCGCGAGGTCTCAAGTAAAATAACCTCCTTTGAACGTGTACTTCCTTCCGCGATCCCACATCTGCATAGGCTGCTTTTTGCGATGTCCTCGTAAAATGGCGGCCGCTTGACGTGAGGCAGCAGTTAGGAGTGAGGCCAAGCGCTTTAAACTTCTTTTCGCCAGCGTGAAAGCCTAGGTTGCACACGGCTATCCTTAGTCTTCCATGCGCGCTAAACCGCCGCAGACAACCACCCACGAGCACCAACACCGTATACAGTACGGATATTACGCGACATTGGAAGAGACTGCATCAAGCCACATCTTTCTCTGTGCACAAATTCCAATTGGCGTAACGGTTCAGCCGACTTTCGGGAACCCATGCCGGCTGCATTTTCGCCAAGACCGGACAGTTTTCAAATAAAATATATTATCGCCCGGGGGACTTAAATATTTGACTAAACTCTGGCTCCCGTGAGCGACGACGAATCGCTCCGACACCGACCCGGGCGTCGTTCCCGACAGTAATTCTCACCTCTTTCACGCAAGAAGCAGCGATAGACACGAAAACGCGAGGTTTCGGCGTATTCATTAGTGCTTTGTGTGAACGTAAGCAACGGTGCTTTTTTCGTAGGAATCGGTCTTTGGAAGAGGCTGCCAAAGAACTGAGTGGCTGCGTTGGCAGCGCCATTTTAGTACGCGGTTACTTTCCTACTGGTCATAGTGGTTATAGTTTCTTTACACAGTAAGTGGACGTATAGAAAACGCTAAAATAAAATTGGACTACTGCTTGCTCCACCTAGTAAGCATACAAACAACTACAAAAAAAAGGGAGATTTGCGATTTCGGTAACAATATGCTCGAACGGATGGCCACTACAGAGCTCTGTGGCGCCTGTCAGTTTAAACTCGGCACCACTGATGTCTATTGTAGTAGGCTGGACCGCAGATCGTGGCCACGGCAGCAAGGGCCGAGAGTTGCCACCGGCGGCCATTGATTGACACAAGCCAATGCATGGGACTCTATGAGAAGAACGAGAAACAGTGTCATTTTCCCGTTTCTAAGCTTTTGTCGGCATTGAAACTTTTTGG